AAGAGAGGCGAAGTTGCTTGGACGCACAGCAAGTCAGGGAGAAGCAGCACCGGGGCAGGAGCCCTGCCTCCCAGCGCTCTTATTCATCAGATCGTACTCCTCCTCCTCCTCCTCCTCAGTTTCATCTCGGTGAGCTTCGCAAACGCAAGCGAAGGAACCAGGGGCAGGACCACGGGCGGCCCGCTGGGGACTTACACAAAAGTGGCGTTCCCACATCTGCCCCAGCTCTGCTCCGACCTGTGCCAGGTGCCCTGCGGTCTCATGCAAACGATTCCCAGTCATATTCTGGAATTAAAAGCTGCTTCTACTGAGATACGCAGAAATGGGGCCGTTTTCCCAGAGGAAAAACGTGCGCACTTGAGAAACAGCCGGGAAGGGCAGAGGTGCCCACTGACGCGGGGCCATCTCTAAGTGAAATCCTCACTCTCGAGGACGGAAGGCGACAGATGTTTCAAGATCCCTATAGCCCTCATCGTGCAATGGTTTGCAGACTGAAAACAAGCTTTGGGATCGGCAGCAGACTGATTTCAATCACATTTCTCCCTTCGGCAAAAAAAGGACAACTGCAGTAAGCCTGCCGAACGCAGCAGAGCTCCGTCTGCTTTATCAGAGCTCTAGCAGTATCCAGCCCCTCTCAAACTCCTCTCCTTCCCAACACGGGGCTACCAACATGTGCCTTTAAAAGCTTAACCTCTTTACAATCTGCCAAGTGAGAACTATGCCCATAGCTCACGAGAAGTTTGGGGAGTGTAAACAGAAGGACTACGGGGGTGGGGAAAAAAAGTCCTAGGAGGGACTGAAATGCATGCAGCCAAAAGCAGCCCTATCTCTGAGCGGGGACAAAGCTCACAGTAGGAACGATCACACCCGGCCCAAACCAGCGCTCCCCGTCAGAGCAGGTTTTCTGCTCCAGGCTTTGAGAGGAGAGCTGGTGGGTAAGGGTCCCCGTGAGGAAATCTAGCGAACGTGTGTTATTTGCAGACAGCATCACAGTGGTTAGTGTCGATTTGAATGGCAGATAAGAAGAGGGGTGAGTTCACTGGAACAGTACGCAGCCGTGGCTCAGTCGGGAAGAAGAGGATCTAGGAGGAGGGAGTGCGTGCACCGCAGAGACAAGAGGTCTCCATCAGTCCAAGGATAAGAAGGTGAAATAGAAAAAAAAGGCCTGGGGAGCGTCACGTTGCCCCAGGGATTCACAGTGCCAGAGCGAGGGGCAAGACGTGAAAACGGCAGGCGGCTTCCTGGATCCACATCTCTGATTCCCCCAGCCTGCATCCCTCTGCACCTCCCACCTCACAGATATCTAACAGCGTGTTACCCTTGTTTCCGAGTAAGGAGAATTCACAGTGTTCAGTAGTGATCAGGTACAAAAGCCGTTTAAGTCTACAGTCTCCTAAGTGCTGCTGCCTTTGACGTAGTGCCTACGCAGGGCTCAGTGCGAGCAGCTGGAGGAAGAGGGAGTTTAGAACAGCAGACAGATCAGATCGCAAAGGCACGGTTAGACTAGGTGGACACGGGGTGTGTTTGCTTTAGAAGATAGTGGTCTCATACTTAGTGCTGAGGGTCCGCTTGGAGTCCTGTTTGGGGTCCACGACCCAGGAGACACTGGCATGAGACTGGGAGTCTTGGTCCACTTCAGGGGGCTCCAGCTAGAAAATAAGGAAAGAAAGGGCGCGTTAGCTCCCCCGTGCTTCTGGGACAGCACGAGCCAGGATTCAAAGCACGGAGAGGCTGCTGCTCTGCCTAACGCCCAGCCCAAAACCGTGCCCGTGCGCGGGGAAGCAGCTCTCGCTGGGGAGGCATTCGAGTCCTTCACAGCTAAAACACGTCTAGCCACGTCAGTCTCAACCCAGCACCCCGAGATGACTTCCTGAGTTAGGCCTGCAAGCCCCTATTACCGTTAGTGACAGCTCCACTTCATCTCACAAACAAGCATGAAAAATTCAGCCTATAAAGATGGCACTATTAAAAAAAAAAAAAAAAAAAAAAGAGGCAAAGGGAGAGAGAGGGAGACAGCTCCTGGCAGGTGAGCTCCCACGTGATTTACTCTCCCAACCAAGCAAGGCTCTTTCATCTTGTCCTCCTAAATCAGGATCCTACAGGAAGGTTAACAACACCAGAAAGAGCAACGCAGTTAGTTGAGGGCTGCCACTCTCCATCAGCAGGGACGGACGTGAGCCGTTTGTCCCTGGGGTTCATCTGAGCCCACAGCACGGCCCTGGAACGAGCAGGGAAGGGAGACAGCAGCGAGGCAGGACACAGGACCACAGCGGGAGATGAAGAGGGGAGGCAGGTGGGCAGCGGCAGCTGGGGCAGCCCGGGTCGGTTCGTAATGGAAGATGGCAGGAAGAAGGGTAAAGACCTTAGCTCCGGGACTAACAGACTGCAGCGGCAGGTAGGAGGGGCGGTGAGTTGTACAGGTGTGACAGTAACAACAGCGAGTGTCGGGAGGGAGCGGCACCTGAGCGGGGGGAGCAAGCAGAACACAGACAAAAGGAGACATTAAAGGAAGGCAATGGCTTAAGCAGCAGTCCCTGCTCCTCAGCAGCTCCAGTCTTGGCTGGTTTTGGCTACAGGGGCGATCCTGTGCTGCAAACCGCAGGTCGCCTACTGATCTTACTGCGGCTCTGCAGGGTTTGCGCACGGAAGCTGTGCTGGACCCAGCAGGGCACTTAACCCCCATCCCACCCGGGCTATTTCCACCTCTGCTTGCCCTCGTCCTACCAGGGGAAGCCCTAGCACCGCAGCAGGACTGCCAGCAGAGCCACGGATGCTGCAGTATCGGCGGTGTCCGAAGCTACAGGCACCGTGTCCGCGTCTGGGCTCCCCCCACCACGAAGGGGGAGGTTTAAGCGCGTGGTGCCCAAGAGAAATCCCAGCTCAGACCATGCAAATCGCACCCGGCAGCCTGCCGGCCCGCACATACGTACTGCAGATTTCCTCATGCCGGCTCGTGGTTTAGGCACCGGTTTGGAAGATTTTGTTTCGACCATTTCTCCTGCTGCAGCACCCAGAGGCTTCGCTCTCTGGGCTTGGAGGGCCAGCTGGTAGGCAACCTCGAACGCCTGCCCCAGTGTGAGGATGATCTCGTAAGTCAGGTTCTTTGGAGAGAAGACAGAAAACACAAAGCCATTAGGTGCGAACGAGCTACCTCGCCCTGCGCAGAGTCCCCGCGCTCAGCAGCTTGCTCTGGAGATGCAGACCTCGGCAGAGCCCATCGCCTTTCTGTTCGCAGGTCGCATCCTGCCGGATCCCTGGCAAGCCGCTCTGCGCACCTGGGGCAGTACTGAGCTCCTGCCCCGCAGGGGAGCCGGCACCAAGCTGCCTCCGCGCTCGCACAGCTCCGGCTGGTGGGACCACCTGCGAGCCTGCCAGAGCCCCGTAAGCATCGCAGTTTAGCAGCGTTTTGCATTGTAAAGAGAAAAAGCCCAAACGTCTTGTACAGCCAATTCTACCCAAGAATAAAAGCAAGTTACGCTTTCACAGTCTCGGTGAATTAAAAGGGCATTAAATCAGCCTATTACGCGCAACGTAATTGAGAGTGTATTAGGGTTTTGTTCACAGCATGTTCCCCAGGAGGGAAAAACTCCTGCCCTCCTTTATTCAGCACTGGAGACTGCAATAATGAAGCCAGACAAATATTCTCTTTGTCAACAGAGCTCCAAAGTAAGAGCATTTTGAGCCAGGACTCTGAAAGGAATATTTTAGGGTAGAAACAGGTAAAAGAGCCCTAGAACGGACCCAGATCCTGGTCTATGATTTGCCAATAAAGCCGAGCGATGAAACAAGCAGACTCCAAAGGAGTGCAGTGCGCTGGGAGATGGGAGGCGATAACCCACTCACCACATCCACGGTGCTGAAGACATGGCAGTAGTGGTGGCTGGTCTGCAGGTCCTTGGTGATGTAGGCGAACGTGCAGAGATCCTCGGGATCCTGAGCGGCGCAGGAGATGTTCCGGATCTCGTGCTCAGCAATGACATTCTGTTGGGGTCAACCACAAGCACCCGTCACCCTTCTGGGGATGGCAAATACACCCAGCAAACGGTGGCCATGGCAAGCTTGGACTAGGGGCAGGGAGCAAAAGAGGCACTGGCAGGGAGGGGGGCGGTCTCCCAGCCAGACCAGTCCTAGCTCCCTCCCACGGTAGGAATAAACGGCAACATGATTCACAAGCAGCCAGTCTGCCAAGCCTTCAGTATTTAGGCAACCATCGTCACCTTGGTGCTCTCCCATAGCCCCAGCAGCTCCTCAGAACCAGCCGTGGCTTCTGGAGCCACTAGATATGACCTGAAGCCCCCCAGGCAGGTGGGACTGCAGGTCTTGTCCCTCCAGACACCAACTTCGAGGCATCTGAAGCTCACCTTGTTAGAGGCATCGATGAACTTCACCCCTTTGTACGTGATGGATAGTATTATGGTCGGGATCTTCTTCATATGCTCTGTGGATTTCTTCAGAAACAAGAACATTCAAGTGACCCGCTGTGAATAAATGGTCCCTTCTTCACCACCGCCCCAGCCCACCCCAGAGACCCCATGAAGGCAGGCTTTGGGGGTCTTGGACCAGGAGGAGGAAAGCCTGCTGCTGGCGGAAGCAGAGGGGAAGGGACGGGGACCTAAGCGAACCCAGCACCCCTTTCTGCAGTGAAAACACCCATTCTGCCACTGCACAGACCTTCCAGCTCTGGGGAAAAGTGCTGGGGAGGGGCAGTTCACCAGCGACAGCGGCACAGCCTCCAGGGTTTGGGCAGCCGCTGCGATCCCCCCATTCCCCTCTCCACACCACCCACCACTGCGTGTGAGGCAGGTCCCCCCCGTCCCCGCGGCCTCCGTACCCTCATCTTGGCACAGGCGTCCTGCGTAGACTCTGTCCCTCGGAGGTCTTTGATCAACATGGAGCCCAAGTACTGTTTGGAAGAGGGGGAGATGTTAACGTGCTCCCAGGCATCCTAAAGGCTTCAGGCAGGAGCCCCTGCCAACCCCGAGACAGTGCCGCGGCCCCGTGAGCGGCCCGCAGCCGTGGCTGGGGAGGGACAGGTCACCCAGGGAGGGGGAGGAAGCGTGACAACTCCACGCACAACCACCTGACCAAAGAGCCTCCTCATCCTCACCACCCCCACAAACCAAAAGCCACTTACGTTGGCCTCGTACCCGCAGGACTCGAAGATGAGCTTCTCCGGTTGGTGCTGCCAGTTTTGGACTGGGGCGTACGGGGCAGCCAGACTTGGGGGGCGCAGGGTCAGCTTTGACTCCCGACGATCCTCCTGGAAGGGAAGAAACATGGATGTGAAGCCACAAACAGGTTGAAACACAGATCCCAGGAGGACTCTTTGGGTTGATGCAGCTGAGGTTGGCAATGGCCAAATCCCACAAGGGCTGGGAGGAGGCAGCACGCTGCGGGTGAAGGTGCCAGTGCTGATGGAAGTCACCATTTTCAAGGTAAGACTGAGGCATGAACGAGCTACTGGCTCTAATGCTTGAGGGAAGCCGTGCCTGACCGGCTCTGGCTCTCCATGCATCACCCTAACTCCTAGCTGGCTCCAGAGAAGGGGGAGTCTGCACCGAACTGAGCAGAGGGGCTCCCAGGACACACAAAAGCACCCACTGACCTGTGCTTTGTAGCGCTCAGCTCTGGAGTAGGGAGCAACCTCAGTGCCACGGTCGTGCTGCCTCTTCCCGGTGTCCCCGGAGGGCAGCAGGAGATCGGCAGATCTGCCCGTGCAGGAGTCGTTCTGGCTCAGAGGCGACGACGTCTGGGACATCAAGTCCTGGCACTGAAAGAGGCAGACACCAAAAACCATCCCGGTCAGCCTGTGCCACAGCCGTGCCCGCCCCTCGCTCCCCTTTACAGTGCCTGACACAAAGGGCGCAAAGAACAGAGTTAACGGGGTCAGCTCCTGCTCTGCAGGCTCCCGCCTCAGTCTCATCAAACGCACGGTTTATTTTCTACAGCACACCCCTGATTTTTTTGAGGACGGTCTGCAGCCGTTTCTGCCGAGCGTGCCTCCGCCTCCCGTGAGCTCATCCCAGGAGGGCAGGAGACACGCTGAGCTGCGGGCAGGGTGTTTATGGCGGAGCAGGCTCCGCTAAAGCCCTAAGCAAAGCACTCAAAGCTGCTGCTGATCAGCCACCCCAGGAGAGAGGCCCTGGGAGCCCAGCGAGAGATCAGCCCAGATGCCTGACAGCCTGGCTCTTACTGCAGGCAAGATTCGCTGCCTCTACGTGCCAACCGGCCCGGCAGACAATGCGGGAAGCTCACAGCTGCAACACGCATTAGTCCTATTCAACGGCCTTGCTTAATTTGCCATTGACGTCCTTCCGCTCCCCACGCCGGAGCCAAGCGCTGGATCGCACCAGCTGTAGCACCAGGAAATGCTGCGAACGGCCCATTCTCTTCCACAGCCTCCCCGTCCAGCATATCAATCAGTTGACGCTGCACCAAAGGACTCCTCTCCCCCCGCCACAAGACCCTGCCGCCTTCAGTCTCATCGGTCTCAAGAGCACATTTCAGAGAAGTGCGGATCCTCAGCTGACGGCTGCCCGTCTGGGCTTTTGTTGGCTGCAAAGAGGGCGGCTGAACAGTGGGGTGAAGGTGTGGGGTTTGCATGTGGCACCCTCACGGCTCCCAGGCACACGCTGCCAGTGCAGTACCAGCGTGAACTCTCTCTTTTTTTTTTACACCTGAACCCCAGTTCCTAAAAAAATCCATGTGAGCAAACAGGGCACAGCAGCCCAACTCGCTTCAGCTAAGACTGTTTTGGTTGAAAAGCCTTGGGAATCCAAGGCAAGAGGGAAGAGCTCTGCAGCAGGGCAAGGACCAGATGTTTGGGATGGGGAAACTCTAATCACTCCCAATTCCTGCTCCAGGAAGCTGATTTGCAAACACTGGGAGGAAGCAGCACGGCACGCTCGCCCTCCGTGGCACGCTGCCCTGCTCCGGACCTCACAGGTTAGCTGCCAGCTCAACGGGTTTTGCCAAACTCAGCTCTCAAATGTCAATTTTCAGGAAGAACGGCGAACGCGACGGCTCCTCTCCCAGCCAACCCTGATAACGAAGGGCCTGACATCCGCCCCCCCCCGAAGAAAAAAAAAAAAAAAAAAAATCAACATCCACAAATCATGTCGAGTGCTATTTGGCAGCGAGAGCAAGAGCTCTAGAGAAGCCCAGCCGGCCCAGGGAGACAGAGCTCAGACTCCCAACCGGCGCAATCAAAACACCAGGTCCCAGCTGCACCCCGTCTCACCAGCTGAGCCATGTCACACTCCTGCCTGCGGGAATCCTGCCGTACGCCTGGCCAGGAAACAAGGGGAAGAAAGGCAGCTCAGTATTCCCCTTCGGCGCAGGCAGAGGTGGGAGTAGCACCCTGCTACCTGTTCAGCGCAGGCACCCACCTTGCACGGAGGCACCTGATCCGAAGGAGCTGCCCGACATCTCCCATGGGGCAGGCATCCAGAATTTGACCTGCAAGGGCTGAATATTATCTTCCCCTACTCATCTCAATAGCAGCGTCGTGCCTGTGCGACTATTTGCTGCTTGGGCCGCTGGAGTTAACTGGCCACGTTAAGATTTCTCCCAGCAGTGATGTGTTCACACGCTTCAGCTTTGTTTTGCACAGGGAAGATAGAGTTTGACCCGCAAAGAAGAAAGCTAAGAGTTGGTAAACTCATCCACCACTTCAGCTAGAGCGCATCTGTCCAAACAAACGGTGACGTTCGCTGTTGTGGGGCCCAGCCATAGCAGAATTTGTACCGCACAACGTTAAATTCGTAATTTGTTTTTACTGTGCCCAAATGCTCCAGGTGCTCCAGCCAAGTCAGAGCCAGCCTGGCTGTTACACTTCCCAAGTTCTACGTGACCACGCTCGGAGTGGGAGTACTGGGCTCTGCATCATCTCCAGCAGCAGCCAAGGTGCATCCATGGGAACTGCTTAACACAAAACATTCCCTCCTCCGCACAGCTAGATGTGCGGTTGCCTCAACGCTTCAAGAACTTTCTTCCCAAACCACCAAGTATCTGAGAACCAGGAGCAACCCAAGCTTCCGGGTCAAATCGATTTGTTTTAATAAGAAACAAGCCGTTTAGGTGTTACCTTTTCCTTTTTTTAAAAAGCAATGCAATTTTCAAAGATCACTCTCTATGCTTATTACTCTCAATACTTACCTTCAAAAGGGTTTTAACTTAAATACTGACATTGCAGGGTTTTTTTTTCCCCTTTTTTATTGATTTTGCTAGGCAGAATTTCCTGTGCATGAAAGCAGCAAGTAAAGCTGAATGCACCTCCCTCTCTGAGCCTGGATACCCATCCAGGACCTGAGCTCTCAGTAAATGTCCTTGACAGATCTGAGTCCCCCAGAGGTGAGAGCTGCCACTCAGAAAGGGGATAATCATTCCTGACAGACCCGGGTTTAGTTCTTTGAAAGAAAGGAGGAACACGCAGGAGAGCCAGGGCAGAAGCAGCACCCCGGCCACGGCCGAGCGTGGTCCGCGCAGACACACCAGCCAGGCAGGGAACACAAACAGTGACTCACTCTCAGCTGCGAGAACCGTGGCGGCTTTGCCGGTGGCTCCTCGTACGGTCTGTCTGCCAGGAAAAAAAAGCAGATTCACTTTCAACACCTGCAGGGAGAGACCACGGTCACTGTGGGCTTTCCTGCCCTCGGCACAAAGCAAAGCCTCCCCTCTTCGAGCAGCGCTTTCCCATTTAACGCAACTCCCTGCAAGTCACAGCCCCGGAGGGAACGTGGGCAGGACCTCACTGCCGCGGCAAGAGAAAGGCAATACTCACGTTTACTATTTCAAGCTCCCAGAGGTTTTTCACAGTGTCAATAGAGCTGTAGCCACTCGAGAGGAAGGACTGAATGTAATCCTGCAGCCCCAAAGAGTCGAGCCATGCGGGAACCGAAGGCTGGCTGTTCCCATCGCAGCCCAGGGGTTTCAACTGTAAAAGTGCAAGAAAGGGGTTAAAAGCCCCAGAGGGCTGGGATGTCAAGGCAAACAGCATCAATTAAAATCAGTTTAAAGGCCACCACCATCTCCACTAGTAGCTTTAAAGTAAAAAAATCACTGTATAAACAGGGAATGCACTTGGGATCAAGACTGGCAGGAGGGACAGCACCCTCTCCCCAGCACGGAGTCATCCCATCCACATAGCTTGGCAGACCAATATACTCCTCCTCCTCCTCCCTGCTATTCCTAAAACCCTTCCCACAGCCCCTGCAGCCCCTCTGTGGGTCAGCAGGACGTGGATGGAGTCACAAGGACTGGGTTTTGTTTCCTCTGCTTTCACAGCCGCGCTGGGCCATGCCCCGAGGTGACCGTGCTGACCTTCGGGAGGGAGCGAGCAGCCTGGAGAAGCTTCCGACGGTGCTGCGGGTCACCGATCCCGATGTCCCGAAGGTCCTGGTCTTCCATGACATTACAGCCCTGCAGGGACAGGAAGGAGCGACGTGGGAGCAGCGGGCAACAGGAGCCTTATCAGGTGCGGGAGCAGAGATCATGCGTGCTACAGCACCCTCCTGACCTCACCTCCCAGCACGTCCGAGGAGGAGGAGGAGGAAGGCTCCCAAGGACGGCAGCTCTGCCCCACGTACCGACCTCAGGCACCGAGAGGGCTGACAGGAGAGGGGCTGCGGTGCACACAGCGTCGGCGGGGCAGAGCACTGCCATCCCCTCCCTCCCGCAGCCTGCTTCGCAACATCCTCCTCCAGCCATTACATTTCAGGCCATCGCTTACAGCAGCCTTCCCGTTTGATGCACGGATGCTTTAATCACTGCGTAACAACGTCCAAGCAAACCCCAGCCCCTCTCCACGCACGGTGCCTGAGAAGGGGCACTTGGCTCTGCTCAGCCTCCCTCCATGGCCACAGAGGAATCTGAATTTCTTGCCGCGAGAGCAGGCAACCTGGCGAAGGTCAGATTTATCCTCCATCCCCCAGGCAGGGAGGCAGCCCGCCCCGCTCCGGCAGAGATGCTCTGGTCACCGCACACCCCGCTCTCTGTTAAAGCCCATTTTTTGCCCCCCTTCCCGCTGCAGAGCACGAGCGGACGCACGCAGAGCACATTGACTTTACCCCCCTCTTAAGAGCCTCCATCATGACCTGCTTCCCTGCCCCTCGTACCTGGGGGGAGCTCAGCGGGAAGCCCGGCCGCGTCTCCCCATGGCTGGCAGAGCCACGCTGCTGTTTG